GATGTCCAGTAACAGTAACCTGTAAAAGCTGTACCTTGAACTATAACGTGATACTATTTTTCTCATAGGTCAGGATGGTAGAATGTGGAGCTTTGGCCAGGTTGGTCAGGTCAGGGATTGGCACATCATAAGATCACAAGCCTTATAGCCACAGAACATTTAACTAGAACAGATTTTCAGGTGGGGCAGTGCAAAAAGCCGGAGCCAGGCAGGGTATGTGTGTGTATACATGTACACATGTGTTTTGGGAGGGAAAACTTCATTTTTCCAAAATGTGTGGGCTTTATGACTAATCGACCTTGCTTGAACTCTCTCCCCTAGGGAGGGAAAGTATATCCCTCTACCCCAACGAGTTCGGGAAGGTCCCCGGGGAGGAGTTCGATGCAGTAGTTCCCGGGGTGGCCGCCCTGGCCTTAGCTCTTTGCCACCTCGTGGCCCTCACCATCTTGACAATAGCAGCCCCAGCCCAGGTTCTGAAACACGTGGTATCAATGGAGGTGAGTTAAGCGGGCTTTGGGGGGCAGGGGGCGGTGGTAGGGAAGCCGATAGGAAGGAAGTGGGAAGGAGAATTGAAAGGATAGGTGGGTTGGAAGGGTGATGCGTTGGTGATAATGTAATAGCAGATACTCTGCCTCTTTTTTCCCCATCTTAAAAAAAAAAAAAAAAAAATAGGCCCTTCCCGCATGTCCCCTAAGGCACAGCGGCCTCTGAGAGGTGGTGCCAAGACTGTGTCTTCACCCAGCAGTAGGCCCTCTGGAGAAGCTTCTGTTCCACCTCCTCCTGCAGGTAAAATTTCAGCAGTGTTATATGAAGAAATAAAAATTTGTGGGGGATGTAGATGTCAGTTGTTGGAAAGCTGGGTTGGGAGACTGTTCCCAGATGAAAGAGATGTTTTGGGGGTTTTGAGTTTATGCTTTTTAGGAAAGAAATTTGTTTCCCTCCCGTAGAAATACCAATGTAGCAATCCATGGTTTGTGTTTGGTTGTCAGATGTCTTTTGTTTAAATTAGTTGTCAGGGTGACTGGTTGGCTCAGAGGAGCATGTGACTCTTGATCTCAGGGTTGTGAGTTCAAGCCCCACATTGGGCATAGAGCTTACTTTAAAAAACAACAGTAACAAACTTTTAAGTTAACATTTTACTTATTTTTTAAAATGTTTAATATGAGAGAGAGCATGCTCAGGGGAGAGGAGAAAAGAGAGAGAGAAATATCCCAAGCAGACTCTGAGCTGTCAGCATGGAGCCAAATTCAGGGGCCCAGTCTCACAAACCATGAGATCATGACCTGAGCCAAAATCAAGAGTCTGGCCACTTAACTGACTGAGCCACCCAGGTGTCCCAGTTGTCAGCATTTTAAGACAGGAGAAATAGAAAATTTTCAACTTCTTTGGAAATACAGAAAGTTCTGCACAGTGAGTCTGCTCCTGTAAAACATTCTAACCTTTTATGGTGCCCAGCAATCTGTTTTACCTGATTAGGTTACCTGCCTTGCTCTTCTAGGAATTTAGGTTTGACCTTGCATATTAAAGGAAAAGGGGTGGGGGCGCCTGGGTGGCTCAGTCGGTTGAGCATCTGACATCACCTCAGGTCATGATCTCCTAGCTCTTGAGTTCAAGCCCCTCTCATCCAGCTCTGGGCTGACAGCTCAGAGTCCGGATTCAGTTCTGCCTTTCTCTCTCTCTCTCTCTCACTCACTCACTCACTCACTCTCTCACTCTCACTGCCCCTCCCCTGCTCATGCGCTGTCTCTCTCTCCAAAAATAAACAAACATTACAAATAATTTTTAAAAAAACAGATAAACTTGATTTGGTGTTTCTAGTAGGTTCCCTATGCCCATTGTGCACTGACCAGTAACCATCGTACAGCTTTCCCTTTTCTTCCAGTGGGCCGGATGTATCCCCCACGCTCTCCCAAGTCGGCTGCCCCTGCCCCAATCTCGGCTTCCTGTCCTGAGCCCCCCATTGGCTCAGCAGTACCAACCTCTTCAGCTTCCATCCCTGTGACATCATCAGTTGTGGATCCTGGAGTAGGCTCCATTTCCCCAGCTTCTCCAAAGATCTCATTGGCCCCCACAGATGGTAAGAGCCACATGGTTGAGGGCTTGTGGACAATGTGAAGTGTGGTTCTGGACAGAAGGACCTTCAGGCATGTGTCTCTTCTTGCTCAGTAAAAGAACTTCCAGCCAAGGAACCTGGGAGAACTCTGGAATCCCAGGAGCTGTCCCGGATAGCTGGGAAAGGTGAGGATTTCCACCCCCACCCCCCACCCCCCGCTGAGGTCTGTGTCCTTTTAATTAGGAGAGCACCTCAGTTAGTACCAAGAGTTTGTTGGGGTTTGGGAAACAGTAGCTTGTCAGTCATGTGATCCTAATTTGTTCTATAGAACTCTCAAGCCTTTTTTTTTTTTTCTTGTTTTCTTCGTCCTTTGGGCTACTGGCATTGTAGCCACCTTGAAAAAAGAAATGCGTATTTTTTCCTTTTTCACTGTTTTTCATAGTCCCTGGCCTTCAGAATGAACAGAAACGCTTTCAACTGGAAGAATTGAGAAAGTTTGGGGCCCAGTTTAAGGTGAGAGGAGTATGGGAGTGAGCCAGGGTGTAAGGATGGAGGGAGGGTGAGGGGGCTTATAGAAGAGGCACAGGACTAGGTGGAATAGAAGAGATGAGACCAAGCAAGGAGGAAGGAAGGAAGGAAGGAAGCCACGCCTGGGGTCTGGACCAGCTGTCTGGGCACTGTATGTGTGCTTTTCTCCTTCCAGCTGCAGTCCAGTAGCTCCCCTGAGACCAGCCTGGATCCTTTTCCTCCCCGGATCTTAAAGGAGGAGGCCAAAGGGAAAGAGAAGGAGGTTGATGGTCTATTGACTTCAGAGCCAATGGGGTCCCCAGTCTCCTCCAAGACAGAGTCCGTATCGGATAAGGAGGACAAAGCACCCCTGCCACCGGCAGGAGCCACCGAGGGGCCAGAGCAGCCCCCGCCACCTTGCCCAAGCCAGACTGGCAGCCCCCCGGTGGGCCTCATCAAGGGAGACGAGAAGGATGAGGGCCCTGTTGCCGAGTGAGTAGGATGGGGAGCTGGGCAGGTGTCGGGGGAGATGAGCAAACTGTGAAGATTGACTTTGTTTTTCTCTCACAGACAAGTGAAGAAGTCCACACTGAACCCCAATGCCAAGGAATTTAATCCCACAAAGCCTCTGCTGTCTGTGGTGAGATGGAATGGGCGAAGGTGGACTGGTTTCTCTGAGGGAGGCTTGGGAGTGGGGGGAGAGAGCGTGGGGAGAGAGGTCGTGAAAGTAGGGCTGCTCTAGGGCAAACGTGTCAGGGTTGGGGGCGAGGGGTCACGATATGTGTGGCAGGTTTTTATGTGTTTAGGGTTTAGCTCAGGGAGTATGTGTGTTGGGCTAGTTCTGAACATAGGTTTCATTCAGATCCCTGATTTTGGTTTGAATGACAAGCTATTTAACTTTTTGGCTTTTGTTTCCTCACCTGTATTTTGAGAATACTCGTCTCAGGGGGTTCAGCGTGAGGCTTAAGCAAGATGAAGGGTAGAGTGTATCTGGCGTGCAGTGCTCCGTTACTGTTATAAGCCCAGGAGGGGCATACAGAGATCAAAATGCACGCATCCTCTGTTGTCTCTTACTACAGAATAAATCCACCAGTACCCCGACTTCTCCGGGGCCCCGGACTCACTCAACTCCTTCCATCCCGGTGCTCACAGCAGGCCAGAGTGGGCTCTATAGCCCCCAGTACATTTCCTACATACCTCAGATCCACATGGGACCAGCTGTTCAGGTAAGAGGAGAGACCGAGTGAGTCTAGGCTAAGAGGCTCGGCTGGGCTGGTGAGGACCGGGTCAGGCCGTTCTGGGCATTTGTTAGCAAGCTGTTCAGCCTCATTTGTATCCTTGTTCGTAGGCACCTCAGATGTATCCATATCCTGTATCCAATTCCGTGCCTGGACAGCAGGGCAAGTACCGGGGAGCAAAAGGTGAGCAGAGTTGGCAGGGCTGCTCCGGCGGCAGGGGGGTGGTGCTGCCTCGTTGCCTCCTGGCAGAAGGAACTTAAGCTTGGCGTTCTCTCCCTTTCCCCAGGCTCCCTGCCCCCGCAGCGCTCGGACCAACACCAGCCAGCCTCAGCCCCTCCGATGATGCAGGCCGCCGCCGCCGCTGGCCCCCCTCTTGTGGCTGCCACACCGTACTCTTCCTACATCCCCTACACCCCGCAGCAGTTCCCGGGCCAGCCTGCCATGATGCAGCCAATGGCCCACTACCCCTCACAGGTAACTGAGGCACGGGAGGGAGACGGGAGTACAGAGCTGAGGGTCACTCGGGTTTCGGTCCTGGCTCCGGCAGGACCCGTAGCAAAGCACTGGTACTCTCTAAAGCACAGGTAAAACGGCGTCTCCTTGCTTGCACCCTTGTGAACGTTAAACAAGGTGGTTGTGGCAAAGCCGGAGTCGTGCCGTGTACGGGTTATCGGGCAGCGCGACATGCCCACCGCTCCTCTCTTGTCCTTCCAGCCGGTGTTCGCCCCCATGCTTCAGAGCAACCCACGCATGCTGACGTCGGGGAGCCATCCCCAGGCCATTGTGTCGTCCTCCACCCCTCAGTACCCTTCTGCAGAGCAGCCCACCCCCCAAGCCCTGTATGGTGAGTTCTGTGCCCTTCCCGAAGACTGCTCCTTAGCCCTCTCCGATGTGCTTGGCGCTGATCCCTTCCCTCTTTCCTGCTGTAGCCACCGTTCACCAGTCCTATCCACACCATGCTACGCAGCTCCATGCCCACCAGCCGCAGCCGGCCACCACGCCTACTGGGAGCCAGCCGCAGTCCCAGCATGCGGCCCCCAGTCCCGTCCAGGTGCCTGCCATGGGGGATCCGAGTGGTTGGGGCAGGAGTGGGCGGCTGGAGGAGGGGGATGGAGCCGGGGGTTCATTTCCTTCGGGCATGGTCGGGAGTCGGTGGGGGGGGGGGGGTAGGCCTGGTACCCGAGGAGTGGGGTGGCACTCACCCTTCCCCTCCCCCTAACAGCACCAGGCGGGGCAGGCCCCACACCTGGGCAGTGGACAGCCACAGCAGAATCTGTACCACCCAGGGGCCCTGACAGGCACGCCGCCTTCTCTGCCACCGGGACCTTCTGCCCAGTCCCCTCAGAGCAGCTTCCCCCAGCCAGCCGCTGTGTATGCCATCCATGCCCACCAGCAGCTGCCCCACGGCTTCACCAACATGGCCCATGTTACCCAGGTAAGAGCCCAAGGGACTTGCTTTCTATGGGTCTGTTTTGCCATCAGGACCCGGGTCCTGGGGCTATCCTGCTGCCCCTTTCCTCAGTGGTCTGAACACCAGGCTTCTCGGAGCCTGTGTGTAGCTTCTGGGGTGCTCCCAGCTGGGATTTTTTGTTGTTGTTTTCTGCAGGCCCATGTCCAAACTGGAATCACAGCAGCCCCGCCCCCTCACCCTGGGGCTCCCCACCCGCCCCAGGTGATGCTGCTGCACCCACCCCAGAGCCATGGGGGCCCCCCCCAAGGCGCGGTGCCCCAGAGTGGGGTGCCTGCACTCTCAGCTTCCACACCCTCACCCTACCCCTACATCGGACACCCCCAAGGTGAGCAGCCTGGCCAGGCGCCTGGATTTCCAGGAGGAGCCGATGACAGGATTCGTGAGTTCTCGTTAGCTGGGGGAATTTGGCATGGAAGAGCTGATGGGCTGCAGGTGGGGCAGGATGCACGGGTTCTGGGAGGGGAGTGAGGGGTCTTGGAGGCAGGGCTGTCCCACAGGGCGCCCGCCGACCTGCACCTGTCTGTGAAGTATGTAGGGTGGGCAGAAGCCACAGTCGCCGCCGCCAGGGGCTTGCTCCTGGCTCTGTCCTTTGCTTCCCTCCGTCCTCGCTCAGTTGTGATCCAGCAGCCCCCCTCCCCACTGCCTCCCCAGCTCTCAGTGACCCCGACTGTCTCCTGACTTAGCCGAGGTAAGGTCAGCGCAGCAGACAGGGCCAGGCTGGGGTGTGGGGGGCTGAGCTGGGCACACGAGTAAGGGCTCTGGCTCACTGGGAAACAGCGATTGATCTGTGCTTCTGACAGCCCCATGAGACACCTTGAGGAGGCCGCTCCTACCCACACACTCCCCCCACACCCCACACTGGACGGCATTGGATGAAGGGACAGCTGCTTGGGTTCTAATGCTCCTGCTCTCTTCTCTTTCCCCTCCAACCAGTTCAATCTCATCCCTCCCAGCAGCTCCCCTTCCACCCCCCGGGGAACTGAAGATTGTCCTGGCCGCGACCTGAGACCTCCATGAGTGGAGGGAAGAGTGATCTATGTCTCTTCCCCCAGCAGCTCGGACCAGTCCCAGCCCCCCAAACCCCCCTTTACCCCGGGGGAGCTGGGGAATTCCTGCCAAGCACCTTGAAGGGGGGGCGGGGCTCGAAGTGGGCAGGGCCAGGGTCCAGCGGGGGTGGGGGGTTCCTGCTCTGCCCCTGCCCATCCCCACCCCATCTTGCCCTCCCATCCTCTCATCTATGCCCCGCTGGAGACGGAAGATCTTTTATTTTCTATTATTTATAACCTCAGACTTGGGCCCCCCTGTTTCTTTCTTCCCCATTAACTTGAGTGACCGGCGTGAGAGACAGACAGACAGATGCCCTACAAGGATGGTTGGACAAGGACTTTTACTTTTTATTACATAAAAATATTAAAAAAAAAAAATTAAAAAAAATAAAATTTTAAACTAACTTAACCTGCCTGTGGTTTCCTCTGGAAAAAAGAGTAAGATAGCAGCTGTCAAGTCTTAGGTGTCATGAGGTGGCTCCCAGCAGTGGGTGGGGACAGCATAGCAGTACAGTCTGTGGGTGCTGGTCCTTCTGCCTCTCACTGCCACACATCACCCAGCCTCCCGGGGACTGTTCTCTCATGTAGATGTTGGCCTTGTCTTGAGGTTTCAGGTTTGTAGGTAGTTTTTAAGTTCACGTTTCTAAAAGGTTAGAACGTGTGTGGCGGGGGGGGGGAATCTCAGGCTCCACACCATCAGCACAGGGTTCAGTCTCCTGAACCATGAGCTCGTGGTCTGAGCTGAAATCCTGAGTCCCAGTGCTCAACTGACTGAGCCACCCAGGCACCCGTTTTAACTGAAAATCATTTCCTCCTTAGAGCATCAGGGAGGTGGCACTAGTACTCGTGGGTGGGCAGGGGTGTTTCAGATGGGACCAAAGCCAGAGAAGGTGAGCTGAGGAGCAGGGCAGGAAAAGGATTCCATACCAGGCTACAGATCCAGGGTGTGAGGGTTGGAAACCTGGTAGTTGGGGGGGCATGATGAGCGTATATAGAGGTAAACAGAAAACAGATGTGCAGGGGTGGGGGTCCCCAGTGGAAGAGCTCTCTTAAGGGATGGCAATTGTGGCTGGGGGTGGGGCACTGATGGAAGAGGCAGCAGCAGAAAGCCAGATGAGCTCAGAATGTCTCCGAAGTACTGAGATGGAATTGCTGTGGGTGCTGGGTGGTCCTCCTCAGGGAAGAGAACTTTGCTTCGTCCCACGAGGAATCCCGGGAAACCTTTCAGCCTTGCTCACTGACTAAAGCAAACCTGCCCTATCTTTGGACAGGACTTCTCGTGAAGTGCTTTTTGTTGCTGTCCTTTTCTTGAGCCCACTTCCGTGCTGTGAAGTCACAGGTTGGATGGTGACTCTCAAAACAGCTCTTAGGTTGGGCCTAAGAAGCTCCCCACTCTGGAAGGCTGGTCAGTGCGGAACAGGCTCATTTGTCAGGAAGCAAGGCTAAAAGGTGCCCGTTAGTCCCTGTTGGAAGCTAACCTTTTTTGTTTGGGGTCAGCATCCTGGTCAGTCATTTAAAGTTTTCAAGCATTTTACTCCCCATTTATCTGGTAAAAAGTCCTCTCCTTAATTTTAAATCTCGGTACATGCTCTAAACTTTCATCTTTGAAGGTTTTAAAGTTATACAATGAAACCTCCAATTGAAGATTGTCCTGTGTTTGGAATTGGTAATATGTAGTGGGGATAACCTATCAAGCACAGGGACCTCCTTAGGTGCTGGGTGTTGGTCCTGGAGGTGAGCTGCAGCGTCCAGTATCTTAGCGCTTAGACGAGGGCAGGTAGACGTTAACAGCCTAGTAACTACTCCCCGGGCACGGGAGGTGTGTCTGGCACCTCGGCCGAACCCATGCTGCGTCTCCCGCAGGACAGCCAGCAGTCTCCTGCCACGGCACTTTGCTAGACGATCCGACCCAATTCGCTAGACCAGCTTTCCTCCTCTCCTTATGTCCCAGTGGTTCGGACCACTTGAAAACGCAAAGCTTTTCCAAAACGGTACCACAGACATGAACTGAAGGGCAGCACACAAGCTCATGTGTCCCAGGCTCCCTGTTTATACTCCTCCATCCTCTCCAACTTAGACCAAGGACACGAGAGACACAACCTCCCTATTCACAGAACAGTTTATTGACCTACCTCACCTGGCAGGCCGTGGGCCCCTCCTGACCAGGAGAAGTGTCCGTCTAGCTGCACTGCTAGGCAGCAGCCCATGCCCTGGGAAGGGGGCATCGAAGCAGGAGAGAACGCTGGCCAGTGCAGCCTCAAACTCGAGAGCCCAAGCAGAGTCCAGACTCAACTCCATTTGATGTTCTTGTCTTCCTCAGTCAGGGCCGACGTCTCCGTGACGAGGCCAGTGCCGATGGTCCGGTTGCCGTCTCGCAGGGTGAAACGCTGGCCTTTTTCTAAGATCATGGGCTGCCGCAAGATTAGGCTGAGCTTCAGGTCCTCCCCGGGCATGGCAAGCTCCTGGACAGGGCAGAGACAGGGTTCAGGCATGGCCCTCGGGGCACATTTCCCCCAACTGCTGCCTACCAAGGTTAAAAGTTACAGGAAATGGCAGCAGGGAGATCCTTTCTGGGGACAGCTTCACTCCAGCCACCAGCAGAGGTAAACATATTTGAAGACCAAAGGACTTGTGACCAGTGTTCCTAAGGTCCAATGTTGAAAGGAAACTAGGCCATGCAGGTTTCTTAGTCACAAGACTTCTCTGAGCTGTCATGCACAGTATATAATTCTTCAAGGGAGAATGCTTTTCTGGGAGATCTTTCTGTGGGTAAATGCTAGCATGGCTAAGTTCACCCAGGCAATACTAGATGAAGACAGACTTCTCCTAAACCCATTGGGTCAGACCCATCTATCACTAGCTTCATCTATACCAGTCAAGGAAAAGTCACCCATGTTGTCACATCTTTGGCACCACGAGTGAGGTAGAGCTGGTATGAAGAGTGTCTCTGCCACTCTTTCACGTTCTCTATGTGCACTATACCTTCCCTGGTGGCAAGATGACACGACAGGCCATGTCCCAAGTCAGAGAGAACATGACAGGCATAAAGTGAGACACAAAAGGCTTGTGGCGGCCACCCTCCTCCTTGCTGAGGATGTAAACCTGGAAGAGAGAGCAGCAAGGGTGAAGCTGTGCTTGGCTGGAAACACTGCCTCTTTGCAGAGGACAGTCTGACTCAGTGATGCCCACCATCCCCTGGAGCCTTCACCTGTGCCTCCACCTTCTGGTGGGGTTGGATGGTCCCTGGCTTGGCCATGACCAAGCCACGCCTCAGGTCCTCCCGCTTCAAGCCTCGGACCAGGGCCCCAAGGTTGTCGCCTGCCTCTGCTCTCTCCAGGCTCTTGTGGAACATCTCAATGCCTAGGAAGGAGAAGAGACCAGGGAGGAGGATCAAGGACGGAGGGAAGGCACCAAGGAGCTACAAGGGTAAATCGTGGAGCCAGCCCCCGGGGCCCCAAGGCATCTTTCCTGTACCTGTCACCACGGTCCGAATGTTCTTGCTATGTCCCAGGAACTCACACTCGTCTCCCTTCTTCAGAATGCCACGCTCTAGTGTACCTGTCACCACGGTGCCCCGGCCTGGGAAGAAACAGAACACGACCTCAGGGACCCGGGGCCAGGCTACCACCAGAGAGGAGTGCAAGTGAACACACGGTCCTCACCAGGAATAGAGTAAACGGACTCTACAGGCAGCAGGAAAGGCTTCTCTAGGTCCCGGGTGGGCACTGGGATGTAAGTGTCCACAGCATCCAGCAGCTTCTGCACAGACTTCAGGCCTAGCTCAGGGTCACGTTGCTA